GCCATCCAGGACCTTCTGATGTGATCCTTTCCAGAGCAGTTAGTTCCCCACAATCTCCAAAGGCTTTATTTTATTGGTCAGTTTGCTTCCTACTGCTTCCAACCCTGGAAGAAGCGCTGTACACAGGACAGGCAGTGCCAATGCGACCCAGTCATAGACACAAGAGTTGTAGTTCACCAATCCTCCGGCTTAAACCAGAGGCTGATTTCTTTCTTGGTGCTTTTGACCGAATCAGTGCCATGAATGATGTTCCTGCCAATTTGAATAGAGAGAAGTCCCCTCGGACGGTGCCTGGCTTAGAGTCCTCTGGGTTGGTCTCCCAGCATCACCTGACCTGTCTTCTCCACATTTAGCCCCTGCCAGTCCATGGTCACAATGGGGGTCCCAAGTTCATGTATTTCACTAGCCTTGGGAAGAAGGGTCGGTCTTTCAGGTCAATGTAGTGCCGGTTCAGGTGTTCCTCAGAGGTCTAACTACCGTAACTTCATGGCCACCAGGTGGATTCCCTTCAGCTCAAAGCGCTTGATGATGTCGCCCACCAGGCCGCGTTGCATGCTGTCTGGCTTGATGGCAATGAAGATGTGCTCATTGTTGGCCATGGTGCAAATCAGGTGGCTGGGGAACAGGCTGGAACCCAGAACAGTTAGTTTTAACCATTTTTTTAAGTACAATTCAGAGACATTAATTTCATTTCCAAGATCCTGTTCGTATATTGTGTACCAGGAATTCTTTATGTTGTAGTTACTGCTCATGGACCTGTTTATGGGAATTCTTAGCTGGTTGGATCATTTGGATACGAGTGTGCTAATAGAGTGAATCACCCGAAATTTGCCCCTTTTTATTCTTGGTTTAATATAAGACTTGAAAGAACTTTTGTGTGTGGTTTCTTTCAGGGCACAGGCTGGTGAGCTGTGGGTCAAGAATGAGAAGGTCATGTGTGGATATATCAGTGAAGATACCAGGGTATGATTTCTAATTTTCTTTTTTTTAAATTTTATTGTATTTATTTATTTATGTTTAATCATTTTATTAGGGGCTCATACAACTCTTATCACATTCCATACATACATCAATTGTGTAAAGCGTATTTGTACATCATTTCTCAAAACATTTTCTCTCCATTTAAACCCCCGACATTAGGTCCTCATTTTTTCCCTTCCTTCCCCGCTCCCCCCTCCCACATGAGCCCTTGATAGTTTATAAATGGGTATTTTGTCATATCTTGCCCTGTCCGATGTCTCCCTTCACCCACTGTTTGGTTGTCTATCCCCCAGGGAGGAGGTCACATATAGTTCCTTGTAGTCAGTTCCCTCTTTCCAACCTACTCTCCCTCTACCCTCCCAGTATCGCCACTCACTCCACTGGTCCTGTAGGGATGCTTTATAATTTTCATTTTCTTCTAACCATTATGTCTAAATCCTGAAATTAAATTCAAGACAAATAAACATTTTACAATCTCATGATTGATCCTGTCTACCTGGTGGAACTGGTAATATTATGAAGGTCTTCTGAAGCTGTTTAGCATTTGGATCACTTTGGCTTGGGGTTGATCTTCATTTTCTTCTTAGGAAGAGGGATTGTTTAGTCTCATGTTGAGATAGATGGTGCCTGACCTGTGGGCTTCTTTGCCTACTAGTAGATCAAGCAAAAACTCAGTTATCGAGTTGATACTGACTCATAGCAACCCTTTAAGACAGGATAGAACTGCCATTGTGAGTTTCTGAAACTGTAACTGTTCATGGGAATAGAAAGCCCCATCTTTCTCCCTCAGAGCAGCTGGTGGTTTCGAACTACGAACCTTGCGAATTACATACCAATGCGTAACCATTCCGCCACCAGGGCTCCCTACTAATACATAGCAGAAGTGAAATTTAGTGGAAGAGCACATTGGCAAACATGAAGTGATTTGTTGATAAAATTGCTCAGAACCTTTGCAAAGAGATACCTCTCTTCTTGTTGGAAAATTCCACACTGAACACATATGAATATCACCCACGCTAGTGAAGCTATCCGTGTGCTCTCTTTCCGCCAGTGCAGTGGTTCTCAACCTTCCTCATGCCCCGACCCTGTCATACAGTTCCTCAGGTTGTGGTGACCCCAACCATAAGATGATTTAAATGGCTACTTCATCACTCTAATTTTGCTACTGTTATGAATTGTAATGTAAATATCTGATATGCAGGATGTATTTTCACTGCTACAAATTGAACATAATTAAAGCATAGTGAGAGGGAACCGATTACAAGGAACTATATGTGACCTCCTCCCTGGGGGACGGACAACAGAAAAGTGGGTGAAGGGAGATGTCAGACAGGGCAGGATATGACAAAATAAACAATTCATAAATGATCAAGGGCTCATGAGGGAGGGGGGAGGGGGGAGGGAGAGGAAAAAAAATGAGGACCTGATGCCAGGGGCTTAAGTGGAGAGCAAATGTTTTGAGAATGATGAGGTCAATGAATGTACAAATGTGCTTTACACAATTGATGTATGTATGGATTGTGATAAGAGTCGTATGAGCCCCTAATAAAACGATAAAAAAGCCACCATTATGTAATTATATATTGTGAAATATTTCTTAATTTGTTTTTTTGAAATATTTATTTCTAATGACAAACACATGAAATTTTGTCTTGAAGCATGGTGTAGCATGGGTAACAGTCTTCGTGCCAGGTACTTGTATGTGGGCATATTTGCATGTGGGCGGACCCGCCAGGAGACCAGTAGAGGAGCCGTGACTCGGTTCCTAAGACCATTGGAAATATGTGTTTTCTGATAGTCTTAGGCGACCCCTGTGAAAGGTTGAGAACCGCTGCCCTAGTGCCTTGAGACATAAAGGGAGTGCTTTTGATTCCCAGTGAACTTTTAGGAGTTACTGTTAGGTAAGCAATAGACTGCCAACCATAAGGTCGTTAGTTCAAATCCACCAGTCACTCTATGGGAGAAAGATAAGGCTGTCTGCTTCCATCAGAAGCTCTATGGAGGCCTCTGAATAAGACTTGACTTGATGGCAGTGGGCTTTGTTTGGGTTTCAGAGCTGTTTATGGCTGTCATGGCCTGCAGGTTGTGCCGCTAGCATCTAGTAGTGATGATGCTTAAACCGTGTGCAGTGTACAGAATCCTGTAACCCACTAGATTCCAATAGCAACCCCTCATCCCACCTTCTACAGTCATGACAATCAGAAATGTCTCTACACATTGTCAGGTAGCCTTTTGGGGAGTTTGGGGCAAAATTGCCCTTGGTTGAAAACCAGTGCCTTAGAGATAGCTGCTGAAGTTTATTTATTTTTAGAATTTTCGTATGTTTAATGATCGTGTGAAACATCTATTATCCCCCAAAAGCAAACAAACTCTGTGCCCTTGAGTGGATGCCGACTCACAGCAACCCTGTAGTACAAGATAGAACTGCCCCCTAAGAGTTTCTGAGACTGTAACTCTCTATAGGAGTAGAAAGCTTCATCTTTCTTCCAAGGAGCAGCTGGTGGTATTGAATTGCTGACCTCGCGGATCACAGCAGGATGCATAACCACTACACCACCTGAGCTCTATTAGTGTTCCCTAGACAATGTATTATTTATTTTGCTGAGTTTTTGGAGCATTTTGAAGATTTAAGGGAAATTATGCAGTCTTATAGATAGCCTTTTCATATTCTGTACTGTATTTTAGATCTAAACTTCAGGATAGATTTGGTGGATTGTTGATTCCCTTGTATGAGCTATGCCAAGCTATTTTTTCAGATTGTATGTAGCAGTTAATACTCCAGTAGCAATACGTCACATCTGCTGCTACTTTCTCTTTTGTCCAACACCTGGGCTTAGGTTTTCTTGTTTTTGCAGCTCTAGTGTTGCTGTTGCTGATAGGTGCCGTTGATGGGACTGGTTTTGCCACCATGACAATGCACTTGCTTATGCAGCCTTTCCAGTGTGCCAGTTTTTGGCAAAAAACAGCATGCCTCTCTTGCCCCATGCACCGTACTCACTTAACCTCACTCCACGTGACTTCTTTTTGTTTCCATCAATGAAGAGGGACATGAAAGGACAGCAATTTTGACAGTGTAGAAGAGGTGAAGAAAAAAACAAGGGAGGTGCTGTCAGCCATCCAAACAGATGAGTTTTAAAAATGTTTCCAAGAATGGAATCACACATTTGACAAATGTATTAAGTGTAATGGAAAGTACTTTGAAGGTGATAAAGTTGTTTTGTAAAAAAAAAAAAAAAAATATATATATATATATGTATATACACACACACACACACACACACATATATATATATATAGCTTTGAGGGGGAAAAATTCTGTTTTTGATGGGGGAGGGGTACCCCTCATATATGTTGATAGGTTTTTATTAGGTGATGTCAAGTAAGTTCTGAATCAGAGAAACCCTGTGTATAACAGAATGAAACGCTGCCTGGTCCTGTGTATCCTCACAATAGTTGGTGTGTTTCAGCCCATTGTTGTAGCTTTTACCATACTTATTATTGGCCTGAATTATTTCCTTCATTATTTCCATACTTATTATTGGCCTGGATTATTTCCTTCAGTTTGTTCAGTTTGAAAAATAGTGAATGTGTGCTTCCCTTTTTGGCTTTCTAACTCCAGGTTTTTGTACAATTAATTGTAATACTTTATTTTATTTTCTTAAGCCACTCTTTGAAATTCTCTGCTCAGCCTTTTTTTCTTCATCATTTCTTGTATTTGCTTTATAGCTACTCTATGTTGAAGAGCAATTTTCTGAGTTTCTTTTGAAATCCATATTTCTGTCTTTTTAATGACCTTTGCTTTCTTCATGTATATTATCCTTGATGTCATCCCACAACTCATTGGGTCTTTAGTCATTAGTGTTCATTGCATCAAATCTATTATTTATTGAGATATTCCTTAAATTTAGATGTGATATACTCAGTGGTGTACATTATTGATAGAGTATGTATATATACCGAACCAAACCACTGCCACTGAGTTGATTCTAACTCCCAGTGACCCTGGATGGTGTTTCTGAAACTGCAACTCAATATGGGAGCAGACAGCCTCATCTTTCTCCCTCAGAGTTTCTGGTGGATTTTACTGCCGACCTAACCCGGGCTCCTTTATATATTGGTATTAAAATATAGAAAAGGTTCTAACCAGCATGAATTAGAACTCTTAATACTATCTTTGAAAGATACTTAAATAAAGTAATAATTGTTTCATTTAGGAAATATAGGAAAACAATTAACTCAATTAAGAAATGAGCAAAGGACTTGAATAGAAATTTCTCCAAAGAAACTATGTGAGTCCATTAAGCATATGAGAAGATACTCAGCATCTTTAGTCATTAAAGAAATACAATCAAAGCCACAATGAGGGACCTATTAAAAATCACACCAAAGCAGTTGCCATCTAGTTGATTCTGCATCCTGGTGAACCCCTGTGTTTCAGAGCAGAGCTGTGTTCCATTCTATGGTGGTTTTAGTTGCTAGGATCTCTTGGGAATTGATTGCCAGCACTTGCTTCTGGGTGGACTTGAATCACCAGCCTCTAGTTTAGGTTGGTAGCTGAGAACTTAACCAACTGTTCCACCCAGGGTACCTTCATAGTCATTAGGTTGGGTTTTGTTTTTTTTTAATCATTTTATTGGGCGCTCATACAACTCTTTTCACAATCTGTACATACATCATTTGTGTCCAGCACATTCGTACGTATGTTGCCATCATCGTTCTCAAAACACTTGCTTTCTACTTGAGCCCTTGGTATCAGCTCTTCATGTTTCCCCCTCCCTCCCCGCTCCCCTAGGTTGGGTTTTGTGTTATGAAAAAAACAAAAGAGAATTTATATGTAAACAAAAAGAACCCGGATCCCTCATACTGCCAATAGCAAGAGATAATCACAGTGAACAGTTTGAAAAGTATATTTCCTTTCGGGCTTTTTTTGTGTTTATGTACATTTGAGAGGAGTGGATTTATTGAGGGCCTATTCTATTCCTGGTCCTTTGGGAAACCCAAAAGAGAGGGAATGGTGAATACGCCCCTATCTTTAAGTAGTTGTGTCTCTAATGAACTCCAGGAGTGTCAGAGATTTACACTGTGATTTCCCCCAAACCCTTTTTAGACCCCTGCGGCATATATAAGAGCTGACTGAGGGGCTTCAGGGTAAAGTCCACAGTCCAGAAAACCAATTATGCCTTTCCTCCAAGTTACCTGCGCGTGGAAGATGTGCAAATTAGAATTTTTTAGATTGCCAATTCATCTGGCACATGGGAGCTCAAATTCTACCTCTGTAATTAGACCTTCTTGGCTTTCCCACATAAGAGCTGGTACCCTTCTCTGTGTTTCTTGGGTGAACCGTCATGGAAAGTTCATATGTATTGTACTACATTGTGCGTCTTTATCCCTCACTAGAAACTCACAGAGGGCAAAAATCCCCACGGTTCGAGGAACTTTTGCACCAGTATTCTTTAACATAATTGTGTTTTTCTTTGTTTCAGGTGGTGTTTCGTTCTACGTCGGCTATGGTTTACATATTTGTTCAGATGAGCTGTGAAATGTGGGATTTTGATATTTATGGTACGGTTCCCGAGTACTGATTATAACTGCCTCTGGGGAGAATTTTCTGGTTACTCACAAGTTGGTAGCTCTTTATTATAAGCTCTTGACATCTTTCAAAGATGTAGTCAGAGACCTTTACAAACCCTCATGTTCTAGATAATATCTGTCTTTTCAGTTGAATTCCCTGAAATGCGGTTAAATATTATTGAAAAATCTTACTTCCTGGATTCTCAATTAGTTTAGAAGCATAAACTACAAAGTCATACGGAAAGTAACTCTGTGGCTAAAGCCAACACTTTAAAAACTATCTTTTGTTTCTCTTCCTATTCTCTCAAAAATCCCCAAAGCTTCCTCTTAATCTTAGAGTTACAATATATTGCTTAGAAAACAATAAAGCTGCTTTGAGAC